TGCGGTATATGTGAACCATGTATCTGTTTTTCCCAACTCATGGTTTTCTGATATGCTAAGAAATGTGATACCTCTTTTCTTTATTTCTTCTTCCAATTTTYGAAAAAATGTGTTGAATTTTGAATTTTGGATAATCTACTGTCCATTGGCTTCGAATTTTGATTTCCACGATTCTTCTATGTCACTGGCTCCCGTGCACAAGTGGAAAGTGATGCGAGTACGAGTTGTTCAGTGCGTGCACCGTAGCCAACTACGGTACATGTGATGTTCCTCTACCGCATGTATGTGTATGATCGCATGATTGCTAATTCGTAACACACTGGCACACTTGTTTTTGTTCGCACATTTGAAAATACGGCGGAAAATCCGAAGCGCGCCTCATTTTTGTCCTTGGATACGACACAGGGCATAGAAAAYCGGTTGAATTTTCGAGGAGGTCAACATCAAAAAATTCCTTTCGTGCCAACCGGCGAGCTCTTTTCGTTTTTAGAGCTGCGCGCCCACGTATCAGTGCGCTTTGGTATGGGACAGGATGTACATTTTYGTTCACGGTACGAGTAGGAGTGTGCTACCAGAGCATAGCAGGTCCCAGTGAGACGGCAAGCGTTCCGGTCTTTTCGTTCGTTTGGCCTGTCAACTCCGTAATGCGTGTCCGGTACGAGTACCGTACGTACTCGTCGTACTGCAGACCGTCCTCGTACACGTTCGCCACTCACGTTGGGAGTGGAGGTGGATGACAAACAAAACATGTAAAGTACTTCCCTTTAGTTCATCCGTTCACTCCGATTCTGTCTCTGGCGTCGAGTCAAYAAGCGACTACGAAGAAGTTCTTTCATCAGCGTTATTGGAAAAGGGAGAGTCTATACCATACTTGTAGCGGGTGCGCGATTGCAAGTGCAAGTTCGACTGCGAGTTCGACTGCGAGTTCGACTGCGAGTTCGACTGCGAGTTCGACTGCGAGTTCGACTGCGAGTTCGAGTACAGGGACGAGCACAAGCCTCCGATCCCGGTTCCGTTTGCCAACGCACACACACGCACACGCACACACACATGCGACAACCATGGGAACCAACATCCACGCCCTAGCACACCGGCTGACGGCGCTCTCGATGGCCTTTCTGGCTTCCGCCGCTCTGACCTTGTGTGTTCTGGCTGGCTTTGGCTGTTCCTTTGTGGAAATCCGGGCGCTCGAGRGAGAGAGCGTCGGCGCCTCGAACGGGGCCGACTTTGAAGATCTGGACACGGCCTACCTYGGCGTTCGGTGCCTCTCGGAGTCCGACGCCGCGTTTTATCCCGCGGGGGACAACTCGGACCGGTTGTGGGACGTCAGCAGAATCTTTTTGTACACCGGTCTCTCGTTCGGCGCCGCAACGACGCTCTTTGCGTGGCTTCTGGGCACGTGCGTCCGGCCGACGGCCCCCCGGTGGCGGATCCTCTCGGTCTTGGCAGCCTGCTCGGCGGTCTTCCAGATCCCCATCTTTCTCGTCTTTGAGGGCGACAACTGCAACTTTGACGTCTTTCGGCAATCCTGCAAGCTKGGCATCGGGGCCTACCTCAACGTGGTCAGCATTTCGGTATGGATCGTCATGACGATCTGGGTCCAGTGCCTCAGGGCCCCCCGGTGGGACGAGGAACTGGATGCCTGGAGGGTGAACAGAAACGGAAACGGAAACCACCGGGCCTCTTCCTCGTGCGCCTCCTCGGGGGGGGAGGCACCGGCGGTCCAAACGGTCAACAACACGGCAAACACGAACGCGTCGGAGGCGGCCTCCTCGCCGCACCACGCGCTGGAAGCACCGTGGGCCCCGCCGGGGTGCCACTCCCGGGCGCACCGATACGGCCGCGGGGGGGACCTCGGAGGCTGCGACGACGGTGCGAACGACGAAGAGTCCCAGCGACCCTTGGGGGGAGGCCCCTCGCGGCCGCTGCACGAATCCCCGAGCCACCGGAGGGCGGAAGCGAGCACGGCCACGAGCGGCACCGGAAGATTCCGCGCCGATACGAGCGGTGCCACGTCCGAAGCGGTCCACGCYRCGAAACACTCTACGGAGGCGCAAACGCGGGACGRTAACGCCAGCGGCAGCCCCCCGCGCAGCCGGCGACGGCCCTCCCCGGGCTTTCACGTGAGCTGCGTGTACGCCGATGGCACCCAGCAGGATGCACACTTTCCGTCCGTGGCTAACTGCTGCCTGGGAATGGGCGTTCCGACGGAGGAAGACGAGGCCACCAACTTCAAAACCTTCCGGGACGACTTTCGGGTGATCGAATACACCGAAAGCGCCGACGACAACCCCCCCGCAAACCAGAGCGAGAGCCCGGATTATCTCTTCCGAAAGCTGCAAACCGAGGAAAAAGCCGCGATTGCCCGAAGGGCCGAGCGCGACAGGGTGCCCGTAGAATACGTGACGAGCGGCGTCGGCAATCGGGGCGGGTCCCACTACCACCACCACACCCCCGGCGGCGGCATTGCCACGGACGACGTGAGCGAGATGACCCGTGGGAGCGGGTGGGCCTCGGGCGTCAGCGAGATCCTCGACGACACGGACCTGCGGCACCAGCCCCGGGTGGTCCTGGAGGAACTCAGGCAGCACTACTAGCAGGGGTTCCGAGTTTGTACCCGCCGATCGATCCATCCGAACGCACGCAAGCAAGCCGGTTTCCACCGGACTTTGTGTCGGTTCTTATCATTACGCTGCTGCCCTTGTAACAACATTGTATATCCTTTTATTACACCCTAGAAAATTTATTCAATCTTCATTCGCCCGTATATTGCAATTTTGCTCCCGTTAAGAAATAGGAGTTGGAGGGAAAGTTCTGGATGTGTGGTTACTGTACTACAACTAGTAGTTGTATTAGAATTCGAGAGGACTTGCGTCCGACTCGCTCGACTCGCTGAATACTTACTCAATTACAGMACGCCAGATAGGGGGGCGGGAACGAAGGGGGACCCTGGTAGGAGGTGCGGTTGGGTGGATGTTGTGAGCGTGTGGTGCGTCCGAAGGAGTTCGCACTAGTACTACTACGTGCGTACGAGTACGTACGAGTACTCGTACGAATAGGTACCAAGTTTTCTGGATTTTTTGAAACTTTTGGGAGTGTTCCTTGTTGTCGTGTCTAGATCCGATTCGGTGTCGTACAGTACGGYACGGTACCAGCACGTAGCGCACCATGAAATGGGATTGTCACTCAGCCATGTCAGATTCTCATTTGTGACACAACGAGAAGAGCTGATCCCAAAGGAGGTCGTCTCGAGTACGGTCAATACGATGTACGCACCCTTTGCAGAAATGGGTGATCTGCTGCGTGTAGGAATCGCATTGTCGGTCACAGTTTCCTTGTGCACCGGTCTGGTTGAATCCCTGTCGGACGGTTTAAAACCACAAGTCCGACCGATACGCAAAGTCGCTGTGATTGGTTCGGGAATAGCAGGATTGGGTGTTGCCCACGCCCTAACTTCGTTATCACACGATGAAGATGATATGGAAATAAGCCTCTTYGACGCCAGATCTGGGCTCAACTCTCAAGACGGAGCCGGAATTCAACTCAACGGAGGACTTATGGCACTTGGAAAAATCAGTAGAAACTTGCAAACGAAGGTCATGGAAGCAGGTTTGCCGGCGAAGAAAGTCGAAAGCAGAGCAAAAGCTTGGAAAGACCCTTCGTCTACGACATACGACACCTTGTTGCAACTCAATTTGGAAGATCTTGTGAAAAATGCCGGTGGAGCCGTAACGGAAGGTCTGGTGCAAGATGGAGAAGTACTGTGGTACAGCATCATGAGAGGTGCCCTACAGGAAGTACTAGTCGACAACTTACCTACATCCTGTCCCGTTCAATTCGAGAAGAAACTCTCTGATATTGTACCTTCCGAGGATGGAACAGGTGTAATTTGCAAGTTTTCTGATGATTCGATCTCCGGTCCTTTCGATTTGGTTGTTGGGTGCGACGGCATCAAGTCGGCGGTCAAGAAATACATTGACACAGGCAAAATAACCGAAGGTGCTGACAGCGGAATTTATTCTGGGATTCGAATCAAATTTGCTGTCCAAGATGGCGATCCAACCTTGGACTCAAATCCAACTACCGCAGGTCTGACCCAATATTTCGGGGATGGAGGATACGGCCTGAGTGGAGTCTATGGGAATGGAAAGGGCAGTGCACCCACGAAATGTGCTTTCATGGTATCGTTAGATGATGACTACATTGGACCATTCAAAAAAAAGGGAAATTCAAACRCAGAAGCTGCCGATGAAAATGTTGCTTGGACACAGGATGCACGTCAAAGCATCGAAGAAGGAAAAAGCAATATGCTAAATCAGGTGCGGTGTCGCGATTTGCCGGACTTTGAACTCGGGCCAACGATAACTAATGCCGATCGATTTTTTGAGTTAGGGGTGTATTTCCATAATCCTTTCAGTTTGAAGGGCTGGAGCAAAGAACTTCCGGATGGTTCCTGGGCTGTCTTAGCGGGTGATGCGGCTCACGCAATGCCTCCTTTCCTCGGACAAGGCGCGAACCAGGCACTTCAAGATGCTGTTTCTCTGGCAAGCAAAATCTGTCATTACAATGACATAGCCCAGGGACGTTGGACGCCGCCTGAAATTGCCGAAGGAGAGGAGGAAGAGGAACCAAAATCCTTAAAAATTCTTTTGAAGGAATACGAACAAAGACGATGGTTCCCGACAACAAGCATTACTGTGAAGTCGGCACTGATTGGATATCTTGAGACTGGAGGATTTGATGGTTTCTACTCTAAGTTCCGCGATGTTTTCTTTCGCACGATGGGAATCATTGGCGTTGCAAAGAAAGTTTTGCTCGATGCCGCGACTCCAAAACTCTAGTATTCGCTATAGTTTTGGAAGCGATTGCTACGTAAAACACAATAATTGTTACCAATGCCATGCTTATTCTAATCTATAAGTCGAGTAATGTGATTTCTTTTTAGAAAAGTCAGTGAGAAGACTTCGTTGTTTACAAAAAGATCAGTATGTTTCATCTGAGAATGAATTCAACGTACATAACAATAGGGATCGAATAATGTTGAATCAAGAAAGGAATCGGATGAAAGATGCATTCCTTGTTCACATCACTTGGTGCGTATTTGCAAATTATCTTTAGATTAAGAAGAGTGCAGTATGCTGAGTTACAATACGTCATCAGAGATCAAAATCCTTCTGCATTTGAATCTCGTGGACYTTGATTCTTCTTTCGATCATTTTCATGGTCGGTGACASGAGCCGTTCCAAAAACATCCCTGTGTGAGACACAAGAAAAATGTTCGGCCTTGTCATCAACAGCATTTCGTCGTCGTCGTTGTCACTGGCCACGTCGCCGCCGGGAGCGAGAGATCCTGCGACTACCTTTCTTGTAAGCAAGTATTTCAAGACGGCATTTTCTGATTTCTGCTGGGCGTCATACCCTTCCAACACTATAGATTTCGCCATGCCACCTCCTCGTTTTTTCTTTACTTCATCATTTTGTGAATCAAGAATCGTTCGAAGGATAGCAGAACCAGAAGTAGATGCTATCGATGCCCCCTTTTCATCCTGTTCTTGGGTAGGGCTGTAACACGGCAAGATCATCGCTACCAATGTATACCGATAGACGTGCGAGATATGTTCGATGGCATTGTAATAGTATTGCGCCATTCCTGGTAGCATTGGTATAGTAGCGTAGATAGTAATGTATCCYTCGTTTTCTTCCAATGATATGTCGCCACTAGATCCYGCCACCGAAGCTCGCTTGGCTCGCAGTTCATAAAATTGTTCCGGTTCGTTCCTTTCCTCTGCCATTGTTCCTCTGTTACCACACAACACATTGGCACAAGAAATCGGGCAAGAAAACCACATCGTTGAATTCACTGTACAAATGCCAGGGTCTTTTGTCGTTTCGTATTCGCATAGTTCTGGACTGGCATCGCGATCGAACTCAAACCCCGATATAAGTACTCCGATGGTAAGCAGCAGAAAGATTGGAAAGAGCGACAAGATCATTGTRTCGATTCTCTTTTTCAGCGAATAAATTTGTGTATTGATGGGACAAGAATCTTAACTGATTTTGCTATTCAGATTGCTTCTAAATTATTTTTTGTCCCTWTGCTCTCTACTCGAAAGATCTTGTTGACATRAGATGAGTTCCGAGTGTGAGACACTAACACGTAAATCACGAGTAGATAGTGAGTGAGCAATAAGCTCCCTCTTTCATCAAGTAAAAATCCCTTCATGTGACACTAAAGAGTGTACCTACTGTGCATTTTGCAGTTTCATAGAGGGACACCATACTTAACACACAACATCAGGAGACCATACTCAAAACACAACATCAAAGGCTCAAGAGTCTGTTACTAGTACTACTACTAGTACGCGTAAAACATCAATTGAAATTACGTTGTTAAGTAACAAGGCATTGGGAACGTTAATTTAATGTTCCGTATGTTAGTTTTAAAGTACGCAATGTTAAGTTAACATTCTGTACATTAGTGCAGTAGGGATGAGTAGGATTTGTACTAAAACCGGTGGTGGCACGCCGGCAGGCCCAGCAGCTGCTGATCCAGCTGATCAGCAAGAAGGAGCAAAATTGATCTACTAATTGGATGGATCCTAGTACAAAACTGTACACAAAATGCTGTAGAAAATCGTGGATCAAGGGGGGAACCCTGTCCATTTTGCTCAAAATAGAAGGGTTTTGATTCCACGTTCAAAATCATACTGAGGCCTACTGTGGTTTACCTAAAAAACTTAGCTCCAGCACATCAGCAGCAAGCCTCTGTATCAATGTGTGTCCKCCGTATTAGTAGCAAATCATATCAGCCTCCTCCGTATCAGCAGCAAGCCTCCGTATCAGCAGCTCCTCCGTATCAGCAGAAGCCATAGTATCAGTGGATGCTATCAGTGGACACTATTATCAGCGGAAGCCGTATCATTAGCGAGCCTCCATATCAGTGAGCGTCCTCCGTATCAGCAACACGTATCAGCGAGTGTCCGTATCAGCAACTCGCCCGTATCAGCATCCTCCGTATCAGCAAGCGTCCTCCATATTTTGGCTCCTATTGCCAGTTATTGTAYACAGGGGGAAGGAGCTGATTGCTGTTTGTTGCCGACGTCGGAAGCAAGCAAGTTGAAGAAAAAGAGTCGCTAGTAGTACTGTAACACACCAAAACAGTACTTCTACTGCGTCCTTTGCTATGATTCAAGGCTTGTTAAATGGACAATCAAAGAGATATATCCATTGATACCAAATATTGAGTGGAAGTGCTGCAAATAGAGCAATTCCCATGGTCAGTTGCTTTGAACTGAGTATTTTGATTGAATGAAAACAACAGTTCTAGCATGCTGGAGGGAAGCTTTTAGGTACATGACAGTAKGTCTCAGTACAATTTGAACGTGTGATAAAAACCCAAGATGCTGAACAGCAGCTGCTGGCCTGCCGGCGTGCCACCACCGGGGCTAGTACAGATTCTACCCAGGGGTATGTCCCTAACGTATGGAATGTTAACTTAACATTCGGTACGTTAAATTAACATTCCCAATGCCTTACTTAACTTAATTTCAATTGATGTTTTACGCATAGTAATCCATCATTCTTGTTTAGTAACAACAACAAGGACCCAAGAACAACAAGAAGGAGGAGAAGTAGTAGTAGAGACCCCTCCCACCTCCTCCTTCTTGATGAAATTCTCAAGGATCATTCCCCACCAGCAGTTCCACTCCTAAACTATAGTACAGCACCACCACCACMAGCTTCAGGCAATCAAAGCCCAGCTCCATAGTACAGCCAAGTTTCAAGAGTGCCTACTACTAGTAGTACCTCCTCATGGGAAAAGAATAAGAGTTTTTAAGGATTCGCGCGTGCCCTTTTTCGGGAAGCTCCATCTCAGCAACCAGTTGTTGTCTGACAGTGTTTGACATATCCAAAGATGCAGAAAAAATAGTACTATGACTAGTTTGCAGTGTCATTGTCAAGCAATGACTTGCCATTGAGAAGGAGCTTCCCAAAAAAGGGCAGCGTATGTATTTTTCGATAGTTAGAAATAATCAGTTTTAGATATGCCTGCCGTTATTTCGACTCCCCTCTCTGAAGGACGACTTGCGCGCGTGACTAACAAAAACTAGCTTGAAATTTTTGGATGACACACGMTTTTTTCTGTTTGTACCGTTATAATATCATATATGCCTTAACCGAAACTTTAAAGGTCGAATTAAAGCCAATTTTATCTTGTATACATTAATGAACACCATGGCTACTATATTCGTCTTGTTATAAGCTTTCRATCCATATATACATTGATAGGGGTTACACACRTTCCCACAGAGTCGAAACTGCTCCTCCTGATTCTTTTCCCATGAGGAGGTAGATATAACACAACTGATGGTCCCTGAGCTATAGTAATATACATATGTACTATACGTACATTTCCACCTTCCAACTTTCGATGGTCAACGCTCTCCTTCAG